CTACTCCATCAAAGACTAGGTCCACCGGTCCAGGAAAGATCTACTCCATCAAAGACTAGGTCCACCAGTCCAGGGAAAGTCCCCACATGCACTACCCTTGCTTTTTTGCTTCTGTAGTTCTGCTTCTTGCTAACTACACTTGCTAACTCAAGTGTGTCAACCAGGGTGTGGTTTCTGTGGCTTGTGACAACAGGCAGGTGCTCACACAAACTATATAGCCCTAGGTCTCCCATGCTTCTTGCTTTGAGATGGGGTATATAAAAGCCTACAACTCTTACTCTGTAGCTCCAAGCACACCTTAGTTACCCAAGGAGCTAGGATTATAGGCCTCTGCCACCAACCCAGCAAGAGGTAGAGATCTGATCAAAGCACGCACCCACATCCATGTGCCTGTAAAATCTTGCTTTTCCCCCCTAAAACAACAGTTTACATAGGCTGGCCTCAACTCTCCACAGGCAAACATGAACTTCCTGTGTGCTGAGATTACCAGTATGTGCTATTATAGCTCTCAGTTAATGGTTTTTAGCTAACTTAACTATGTTGTTGAAGACAGTAGGGAAAATCCTTGAGAATTTTCACATTCACATGAACTCTAATTTCTTAGAATTGCATTATTGCTGAACAAGAGACACCACTAACCTGCTGCTCTCAGGTTCAGACTGAGGTGAAACAAGGTGGTTACTTATAAGCCTTGTTGTAAAGGGACTCCCGACTTCTGAAAGATGTGGTCTTGGAAGACTCTCCTTCATAGGAGAAAAGCTCTGACTTGAAACACTTGTTGGATACAATAATTCAGGATTAATCTGTTGGAGGAAAAAAGAAAAAGGACCTTAAAGGAACTATTTCAATGTAATAGTTACCAAACACAAGATACATACAATCCATTTTCCTTTTACCTCGGAAGATACTGAGAATCATCCTAAGCATGTGGATCTCACTTTTTTTTTTTTTTAAGATTTATTTATTATTTATACAGTGTTCTTCCTGCATGTATATCTTCGAGCCAGAAGAAGGCACCAGATTTCACTATGCATGGTTGTGAGCCACCATGTGGTTGCTGGGAATTTAACTCAGGACCTCTGGAAGAACAGCCAGTGCTCTTAACCGCTGAGCCATCTCTCCAGCCCCACATGTGGATTTCTTTTGCTAATTAGAAATGGGTAAATGGACCAGTCAACTAATCCAGCCTGCTACGAGGGTGGCATGGTTTCACATCTTATTATTGTTTGTATACGTGCACGGATATGGCTGTGTGTGCATGTGTGCACATGTGGACTCAAGCTTGTGGAGGGCAGAGGCCAATGCTGGCTGTCTTCCTCACTCACTCTCCACCTCACGTTTGACATAGGGTCTCACTGAACCTGAAGCTTGCCCATTTGGCTGGAATCGCTGGCCAAAAACCTTCTGGAAACACCTGTCTCGGCCTCCCAAGCCCTGGGTCACACACACTCACTATCAGCCGTTTACTCCTGGGTGCCAGGCAGCCGCGCCTCAGCTCCTCACCCATGCACAGTGTGCTCTTAGCTGCCCGAGCCATCTCTAGACTCCAGTGTGCCAGTAAGGAGATAAACAAAGCACACACACGAGACAGCCTCTAAGTGGCCACAAAGGCAAAGAGATTCGCTAGGCTGTGAACCTCACACACACACAGCTTAGAAAACAGAACAAAAACATTCTTTTGAGAAACTGGAATCAAAGTGAAAATAATCATACAGTACTTTCAAAATCAAAGTCATCCCACTGTTCTTCTCCCAAGTCCTGTACTCCCCACACCACACGAGAAAGCATTGCAATGCAATTACAAGTAAACGTACACCCCAGGCAGAACAAAACTTCCTGTCCAAGAAATATTTACAGTCAGCCAAAATATCCCACCCAGCCTACCCATAGCTTATCAGACTGCCTGGCCTCCACCTCACGACTCCCTTGTCAGCCTCCCCCACATACAGCTCTCTAATAACAAGATTCTTTGAAATCCAATCCCGGCTGCCCTTATACCAAGTGGTGGAGCTGTCCACTGGAGCCAAGTCAACCTACAGGAGCCATACCCTTAAAGAAAACTGACCCATGGGACTAGAGATGGCTCAGTGGTGAAGAGCACTGGCTGCTCTTATAGAGGACCCTGGTCCAATTCACAGCCCCCACACAGCAGCTCACAGTTGTCTGTAACTCCAGTTCTAGGAGATCCAACACCCTCACATGGACATTCATGCAGGAAAAACAAAAACAAAAAACTCCAATGCATATAAAAAATTAAAGGGAGTTTTAAAAAAAAAGCAAGAAAGGGAAAAGGAAACCTGACTCCCCAGTGCCATCCGTGGCTGACGAGGGGGAGCTGACTGTCTGACCTTGTGCTGACAGTCACCGAGCTCTCAACTCACTCCTCCTCCTGGCCCTCTGTCCTCATCGTCTTCCCACCACCTCTTCCCTGATGTTTCCTCAACGTGAGGGGAATGAGGATGAGATCCATGCCCCGTTTATGGTTGTGCACTCCACAGACATTTATTCTCCTCATTTCAGCAATTCTGAGTGCCTGACAAGATTTGGAAAGGCTGCCTTACCTCGATGATACACCACTAAGTATTAATAGGACAGTCTGAAGACGCTGTTGGGCTAGGAAGACTTGGGGAAAAGAGTAAGAATGGGCCCCAAAAAGAAAGAGTGTGAAAGCAACAAGTCCCTCTCAACTGGTTATAAAAGCCCAAAACTTTAGAATTCAGCATCAGTTACACCAAGTACTTCTAAAAATTAAGACAGACATAAAATGGAAGGATTCATTACCCGAGGGATCATTTCCAGGTGTCTGATCCTGTATTTCTCCTTGCTGCTTTAAAAGAAAGATGAAAAATGAACATCTTGATATTTAGCCTATTAATATTTCCACAATCCTATTTTCAAATGATATATCTATTTCACTACCAAGTTACTCAAATATCTACAATAAACTTAGCTTTGATTTCATTATGATCACTGGTAAACATTTAGACTATGGAGTACCCCCACCCCATACACATTCCCTCCTTTAATTAAAAAAACAAGAAAAAACCTTACTAACACTTAACGTCTGCCTGAGCCACAGATCATAAACAAAGATATTAAAGGCTTTAAAGTGGTTTCATTATTTCCAAAACCACTCTAAAATTATGTAAATACTAGCAGACCATGGGTGTGTGTGTGTGTGTGGTGACTCGGTTAGCAAGGTGCCTGCTGAGCAAACCTGAGATGAGAAACCAAGCTCAAATGCCCTAGACTCCGAGTACAAGCTGGGCACGACACACATCTAACCCCAGTGCTGCAGAGGTGGAGCCTGGAGGGGCCCTGTCCTTCACTGGCAGGCCAGTCAAGCTAAAAAAAACAGGACGGGAGAGCCTGGTGCAATGCTGCACACCTTTAATCCCAGTACTTGGGTGGTGGAGGCAGGAGGATTTCTGTGAGTTTGAGGACAGCCTGGTCTACATAGAAAGTTCTAGGCCAGATGGGGTTACATAGTAACACCCTGTCTCAAAACAAAAACAAATAAAAAGAGCACAAATGAAGACAGCTGACACTGACCTGGTCTCCCCCTCCCCCCCACATCCATGTAACACACACAAAACGTTCTTAGCCTTCTATGTCCAGTGCATTACGTAACTGCTCCATAGCTCATCTCCGATTCCTGTTTACCCCTAGTCACACTGCGTGAGCCGTACAAATGACTGACTGTACCCACGTACTAGTCTTACCACCCGGCGAAGACTGATTATAGAAATGACCTCCTTCATGAAACTTCCTGGTCCATACCATTCCTGCCGTCCCTGGCCAGGCCAGAAGAACTCTCCTTTGAGCTCGTAACACAGGACTGTGCCCTTTACAGACAGACTTCACCTGTTTTAATGCATGTATGTTCTGCCTGCATGTCTGCCTGCGTACCACATGTGTGCACTGCCCTAGGAGGTCAGGAGGATGCTGGGTCCTCTGAGACTGGAGTGTCAGGTGGCTATGAGCTCCCACATGGGTGCCAGGAGTCAAATCTGCATCCTCTGGGAAACAGCTTTTTAACCTCGAGCCATCTCTCTGGGCCAGGCTCATCAACTTCTCAGTGTTAATGTACATGGCACCCTTTCTGTCAAGACGGAGGCCCCTAACAGGAGTGTTTCTGCACTGCTCATCTAACACAGCCCCAAACGCCAAATTCTTCTCAGCAGAGCACATGCAGCTGGGCCAGCAAACCTGGGTCCTCACAGCACACACTGACACAAAAGCAGCACTACCAGTGCTCTTCACGGGATTACTGCTCACCACTCTACCACACTGCACACACCAGTGCTCTTCACGGGATCACTGCACACCACACTACCACACTGCACACACCAGTGCTCTTCATGGGATCACTGCACACCACACTCTACAACACTGCACACACCAGTGTTCTTCACGGGATCACTGCTCACCACACTACCACACTGCACACACCAGTGCTCTTCACGGGATCACTGC